CTCCTCCTTTTTTTCCCCCAAAGCCCCAGTAGATAGTTGTATGTCATAGTTGCACATCCTTCTAGTTGCTGTATGTGGGACGTGGCCTCAGCATGGCCAGAGAAGCGGTGCGTCAGTGTGCGCCCGGGATCCGAACCCAGGCCGCCAGTAGCGGAGCGCGCGCACTTAACCGCTAAGCCGCAGGGTCGGCCCCTAGGCTTGCCTTTCCATAACCTTTTAGGCTTGATCTTGTTGGCAGCAGCGTCTTTTGCTCTGAAGGGTGAGGAGGTATCCACTGGGGCCACTGGTAGGCCTAGTTCATAGGCAAAGAAAAGGGGAAAAGAGAGAGGGAGAAAAAGGGAAAAGGAGAGGAATGAACTAAGACGTGAGTGAAGCGTCAGGGGAGAAAGGGTTTATTTGAGGAGTGGTGGGGTGCAACCACCGCAGGGTGCCACCTTACAGAGATGTTGGGGTGCAGGCTTCTGCTGGTCTTTGGCTGAGGCTGGGGTTTGTGCCATGCTTTGGGCAGGGGACTGGGGGGCGGCACATCCTATGCCAAAGCCAAGGTGAATCAATTTTAGTTGCAGCTGTTGGGGAGGGTGCTGTTCTGCAGATGAGGACTCAGAGGCCTTGGCCTCTCTTTACACTAGGATGAGATTGTGGACTTTCTGACTGGAGTGCTCACTCGCGCTGAGGGGCATGTGGGCTCTGAGCCTCGGGATCAGGATGCTGAGAAGAAGAAGAAGCCCCGGGATGTGGCCCGCAGAGACCTGGCCTTTGAGGTCCCTGAGCGGGGCAGTCGACCTGCCTCGCCAGCTGCCAAGCTGCCTGCCTCACCCTCAGGCTCGGAGGTAATGCAGGCGGGCAGGGAACACTTTTGGTGGGGAATCAGGACCACAGAGTTGGTTCCTTCACTTCCTGGGGATGCCTCTCTGCCTTACCCGTGCTGTAGGCCTCTGAGTTCCTATGAGGAGAATTCCTGATCAGGGAATTCCAAGGAGACGTGGTGATTGATGGTCAAATCCAAACAACAATGGCTACGCTCTTGTCCTTCTTACCCTACTCAGGATCTCTCCAGTGTGTCCAGCAGCCCCACCTCCAGTCCTAAGACCAAAGTGACCACAGTGACCTCTGCCCAGAAGCCCAGTCAGATCGGGAGCTCTCAGCTGCTGAAGAGACATGTGCAGCGGACAGAAGCTGTGCTGACCCACAAACAAGCGCAAGGTATAGGCGCCTGGCCCAGTGGCCTCTCTTGGGTTCTGTCTTCTGCCGTTGATGTCATGTGGCAGTTGGAAAGTATTGGGCTCTGCAACTTTTTCCAGGGGCGTGTGAGAGGCACCCTTTCCCACATTTCTGTCCAGGCAAAATTAGGTTGAAATGAACACCAAGGGCTGTTTTCAAGGGTAAAACATCACAAAAGGTCTGTGCATCAGTGGGGCTATACAATTCTACTAATTACAGCTTTGTCTTGGTGTTTTGGGGAAGTCAGGCTTCATGAGCTGACTACGTGTATATCAGCCTCAAATTGTTTTCTAACTCCCAATTGGGGAAGCTACGTCTTCTGTTCTGGGCCCTGTCCAGCCACTCCTGCAGTCGGGGAGCTCTTCAGATCATGTGGACAGCGTGATTGGCTTTATTCATCAGATTCTAGGGCCACTCAACTGGTGTCGCACCCTGTTTTTGTTTTGCCCTTGACGAGTTAAGATTCCCATACTGGGACTTTCAGTGAAGTTTGTCAGGGGTCTCTGTAGATAGGTTTTAGATTAGACTGGGAAATATTTGTATGGTTGAAAATAGAGTTTGGAGAACAGCAAGTGCTATGTAAGAAGCTAAAGAAAAGGGAGAGTTCAGTGGGTAGGGAGAGAAGAAGAAACAGTGGCTCTGCTCCTGCCCCTACTTTGATCCATTTGGGTGGCCCTGAGGTGAGGCCTCTTGGGCATTGGTGTTTGATGATGTGTCCAGGAGCGTGTGTCGTCTGGGGTTCTCATGTGCCTGGGAAGTGGCAGCAGCCAGAGCTGGCTGTCAAGTAGAGAGATGTGGAGGTGACAGGAGGCTGATCTGCTCGCTTCCCCTGTGTTTGTTTTAATGGAGCCAAAGGGTCGCAACCTAAACCCACGCCTCTTAGAGGTTGACCTTAAGAGTGGAGCTAACAAGGAGCAGAAGTGTCAGTGGATTGGTGAAGGCATAAAAGAGGCCAGGCCCCTAGGGTCCATGTGGATGCTCTGTGACCTGGATCTTCTGAAGTGGTGGCCAGAGCCAAGTTCCCGATGGGCGGTGTCCCCTTAGGCTTTTGAGGAAGAGAGAGTCAGTCTGCCATGCTTCTGGAGGGGATAATTAGTCGAGAATCTAAGGAGTTCTGGAAGGCAGATTGGTGAGCTGAATTTGAAACGGGATCCAGAGTGTCATGGGGGAGAGCAGCAGCCGCTGTGCCCTGGCTGTGGCAGAGCTCGTGGGCAGGGGGATGATAATAGCTAACATTTATGGAGCCTTTACTACGTGCTACATCCTCTTCTTGGCGCTTGATTTGTTGTTGCTCATTGAATCTTGGCAATGGCCTAATGAGGCAGGTACATTTTTTATTTTCAATTTATAGATGATTCTATGGAGCTAGTAAGTGGCAGAGTCAGATTTCAAATCCATGCAATAATTCCAGAAAAAGCCCCTATTGACCGTTTTCTAGAACACTTTCATATCTTTTTCTAACTCCCTCTCTTTTTCTCCTTTCTCTGGCTGGCTGTGATTCTGTAATTCTTTCTGATTCATTCCAGCACAGTTTGCTGCTTTTCTGAAACAAAATATGCTGGTGAGGAAAGCTCTTCCTCCCGGTACCTCCTCCTGTCTCTTTGGTGAGTATCGTTCTTTCTCTCAACTTTCACCCTCTGCTCTCTGCTTCTCTCCCCTTCTCCGTCTTATTTTCCCCCCATCCCTGCCTCTCATTCGTCTCTGGTTTCTTCTTGTTCTTTTCTGCCTTTTTCTATCTTCTGATTCTTTTTTTCACTGACTCTTTTTGCTTACTCCATGGTCTTTGCTTTTTCTCCATTCTTTCTCTTTGCCTCTCATGGTGTTTTTCTCTTTTTGTCTCTTATTCTGCTTCTTGGCTCTGCTTCTCCTGTTTTTGCCTATGGCCCATTGCCTGTGAGCCTGAGTTTCCTTGTGTGTTTTTCTCCCTGCCTTTGGCTTCCTGTTTCCATCCTGGCCGCTGCAAGCACACACCAGCCACTTATCAGCATAAAACCTGTAACTCCTTTTCCTTTTACCCTCCTTCCAACTCTGATTTTAGTCAATGCATTTATTCCCTAAGCAATCCTTCCAGCTGGTTATGCCCTGACTGTGGTCTGGAATAGCTCCCTGTGGCCCTGTACCAGGACCCCCCCAATCCATGTGTGACTGCTGCCTTCCTCCCCACCCTACCCCTGATTGCCTATGCTAAGAAGAGGGACTGGAGTGGGCTCCTGGGTTTAAAGAGGAGGCGATCTGTGAGGAAGCCTGAAAGATAACTTGAGTCCAAGAGGCTTGGCTATGTGCAGCATGAGTCTGATTGATTCAGTGGAGGGGGAAGCCCATGTGTGAACAGATAGCCTTTCTCTGTACTGGTAAAATGACCTGGGGACTAGGCTGTGACATGGGCCACTGTTGCCCTCTTATTTTGGGGCAGGAGCTGTAAAGTTATCTTGGCTAAGGTGTTCCCTTGCCTAGTAGCTACTCAAAGCCAGCCTTAAGTCCTGGTGATAATCCTTCTCTTTGCCTCCATTTGGCAAGCAAACCCTCAACCTTAGGCTCTTAGGGCAGGGTGGGACTCGCAGAGCCTTGTGAAAATCTCCCTTTTAGAGAGGACTGGGTAGCCTGCCCCTCCAGGCTTCTTCGTAGAATGTTTAATGTCCTCCAGCTGTGTGATGTGGAGGAGGGCTTGTAACAGGAAGGTTATCACATTCTTTGAGTCCGGGAAAAGCTGTCTAGATCTACTGTGGGGAGTCCTCTGTTTTTGGATTGGCTTTTGCTAGGCAGGGTCAGGGTGTCTTCTCCTTATTTTTTGTTCCCCCCAACTCAGAGCCCCCTTCCTTCCGACTCCGGGACAGGGTTAGAGATGGGGATGGAGTGATCGTCTGAGAGGGACAAGGTGGAGTTCCACCACAGGTGGGGCCTGAGTGAGGTGGGCCTGCGGCATTGGCAGTCTCTTTTGATGTGTGACTTCTTATGTAGGATGGTTCTGTGTGTTCCCACACATAGCCATGCCCATGCTGGTGCTGGCTGTCAGTGTCTGTCGGGCTCTTTCGGATTGTGAAGGACCTCACCTCAGCTCTATCTTTTAGTTCCCATTTCATCAGAACAAACGGAGGAAGCAGAGAAAGAGGATCTTAGGGCCCAGCTGAAGCGGCACCATCCCTCCAGTCCTCTTCCTGGCAGTAAGACCTCTAAGCGACCGAAGATCAAGGTGTCCCTTGTCTCCCAAGGGGACACAGCTGGAGGGCCTTGTACTCCTTCCCAAGGAGGAGCTCCAGAAGGTGAGTTTCTCTTGGCCTGTTTAGCTGAAAACTGACTGAGCTCTCCCAGGGCACAGAGCCTTGCCCTCTTGGTGGCTCTTGCTGGGTGGCTCAGCCTCAACTTCACTGTAGGAGGTGCCTAGTGTGAGGAGGGCACGAGGTTGTACATGGAGGAAAGTGGGCAGTGACCTGATTTGAACTAGGATCAGGGCAGCAGAACGAGGATCAGAGCGGCAGAACGAGGATCAGAGGAAGCTGTGGGGTCATTCAAAGCATCATATGTTTTGTTTATTTTCGGTTTCAATTAAAGATAAAATATTACAGAAAGCTTAGAAGTAGAAGGAAGAAATTATCCCAATTCTCCCAACTCTAATGTCATTATTCTTCATTTTTTGTCTTCCAGTCTTTGTCCATAATATCTTGCATTTAGCCTGGGCTGTGGACCCTGAAAGGTAGGGGCCACACAGGACTGACTGGTGACCTTGGGGTTTTATGTTTTGCAGCCACGGGAGGGAAGCCAGTCACCATGACACTGGGGCAAGCTTCAGCAGGGGCCAAGGAGCTCCCAGGGCTGCTCTCCACAACTAAGTGAGTCTTTCTTGGTCTGTTTGGCCCTGTTCTCTTGTTTCTCTTCACCTTTTCTTCGGTCTGTTTAGTGCTTTGGAAGATGGTGGATTCTGGATTCTGTCAGTTTTGGGAATGTGACTTCTTTCTGAGTGGGAAGTCTTCTTTGTCTTTCTTTTGGGTCAGCTCACAGTTCATTTTTACTTAGAGCTTGCAAAGCAACCCGTAGCTCTTGCTTCAAGGCCTGAAGTCGGTGCTTTCGGCTTGACTTTTAGAAGGACTAGAGGCCGGATTCAGAAGGTGGGATGGAGAAACCGAAGGTTCTAGCCTTGTGTCTATTGCTGAAAGCCTTGCTGGGCCCGACTTTGCACCCTCCCTTTGTTGCCAGGGTCTGCTGCTTTCCGACCTTTGGATAATGGAGATCCTGTCTTTGTCTCCAGGTCAAATGCTTCTGAAGGAGGACTGTCAGCCAGCCCAGCCTCCTCAGTGGGCTCCAGCAGCACCACGCCCAGTGCCCTGCACACACTCCAGAGCCGCCTGGTGGCCACCTCTCCTGGCAGCTCCCTCCCAGGTAACTGGTAGCCCAGCATTTCCTGCCTCCCAGCAGAGGCTTTTTGGGCTGCAGCTGGAGGGTGGGCCTGGGAAAGCATCCCTGGAGCTGAATCTGGAGAGTGCTCCTCTGGGTCTCAGGCCTGTTATAGAGGCTTGACACGAAGCTGGAGTTAGCTTTGAGTTGGGGGAGTTCTTGGCCTTAATATCTATAGTGACTAAATATCCCAGTCTATATATAAGGTGGAGAAATAGCTGGTGGGAGATGTGTATTGTGTTTCATTTTGGTGTTTTTAAGCACATCTGATTGAGTAAAACTGGAAATGGTGCTATACTGGGCATTAGAAAAATGAGACGTTTTTCTGCCTGTGCTTGTCTCCTCACTGTCTCCACCCCCAGCCCTACACTGAAGGGCTGGTTGCCTGAGTCCAGCAGGACTAAGGCACTGCAGATGCTCTTCTTCTGCAAGAAGACCTTTCTCTCTGCTTTGAGGCCACTGGACTGTGTATAAAGTGAAGTATATTTGGGATTCTTTTGGCTTAAAAAGTCCTTCCTTTTCCTTGAAAAGAAAGGAGAGAATTTAGATTTCTGAGAAGTGGGGTTCAAAACTGTCCAAAGTGTCAGGTGATTTGGAGCAGGTTGGGAAGTGCCGAGCAAATCTAAGGCAATGTGTCTGGCGTAGTACCTTTCCTCATGTGGGCATCCAGCTCACGTGCCTGGGGAGCCCTTCCTGGCATCTTTTTGCGAGCACTGGCAATGTCCGAGGGAGGGAGACTGGTGTCCGGGTTGGTTGGTCAGGGTGCGGGCGTGGCTGCTCCTGGGGTAAGTGACTGAGCCTGTGCTGATGTCTGTTATGTCCTCTCCTAGGGGCCACGCCAGCCAGCAGCCTCCTCCAAGGTCTCAGCTTCAGCTTGCAGGATATCAGCAGCAAGACCTCTGGCCTCCCAGCAAATTCCTCCCCAGGGCCAGCCCCACAGGTGCACATCTGCCTTCCACTGGGCTGGGCAGGTGTGGGGAGGAGGCCTCCTCAGCGTAGTTGGTTTTGGCAGGGAGACTGGGTCTGGACTCTGGGTCAAGGACAAACAGCCTTCTGACTTCACACCTGGGAGCTACCGAAGGTTAAGGCTCCATCACTTGTTGTGTGACCTTGAGCAAGTTTCTTGACCTCTCTATATCTTTGTTTCCTTGTGTGTAAAATGAGAATAATAATAGTACCACCCTCACAGAGTTGTTTTGAGGATTAAATAAGATAATTGTATGGAAAATGCCTGGAAGAGTATCTTGCATGTAGTAGGCACTCGACACATGGTAGCCCTTAATAATATGCTGTGGGCCCTCCACACTCGAACGTTGCTGTTGGGCAACAGCTTCTGATCAACTGGGCTTGTGTGTCCCACAGGCCACCAGTGTGAAGTTGCCCACCCCCATGCAGAGCCTGAGTGCCATCACCACGGGCACCAGCACCATTGTCCGTACCATTCCTGTGGCCACCACTCTCTCCTCCTTGGGTGCCACTCCTGGTGGGAAGCCCACAGCCATCCACCAGCTGCTGACCAATGGGGGCCTCGCTAAGTTGGCAAGCAGCCTCCCTGGCCTGGCTCAGATCTCTAACCAAGCATCAGGTGAGTCTCTCATGAGAACCGTGGGGACTCCCAGATATGGGGTCTTCCATCAGGACTTTCCCATCTCACATGGGCAAGGTATGATGTTGAACCCAACCCCAAAGGGTCCTGGCATTGACCCTCGGATTCAGTTGTGTGGGTCCATCCCCCAGAGAGGTTGAGAGAGTGCACACTGTTTCCTGCTGCCTTTCAGACTGATTGATAGGGCGTAGCTGACCCAGCTGGGGAGGACGCTGAGGCGGGAGGCTGAGGGGGGGTGTGTTATATGAGGAAGAAACTCTCTAGGAAAGGAAAGTGGAGTCTGTGACAAAACCTACTTTCCTCTCTCCCTCAGGCTTGAAGGTCCCCACCACCATTACTTTGACACTACGTGGCCAGCCGAGCCGAATCACCACGCTGAGCCCCGTGGGCTCAGGAGCAGCCCTGTCAGAGGAGCCCACCTCCCAGGCACTGCCCTCCAGCTCACAGGTGAGTCTGCCTGGGAAAACCGAGGACATGGGCTCCATATTGGGAAGTTGGGGGCCGGCTGACTGTCTGATTGGAGTTGCTGCCAGTGCACTGGACTTGTAGGCAGACCAGACTTGGGGGTTTGTAGCTTTGTAACTGAGCAAGTTGTGGACCTCTTTGAGTCTCTTTTTCTGTAACACTCCCTGGGTTGTTGTGAGGATTGAATATGTAAATATGTTCAAGTGTGTAGCCGTGCCTAGTATTTAATATTTTTGTTTACTTTCCCTCTCCATTCCTTTTCTCCTCTCATTCTTGGTTTCATCATTCAGAGGTGGTTGTGGAGGCTAGTTGGCTAATACTCTTCTTTGACCAACAGTTTTCCAGCATTGTGCCATTCCAGATCTTGGCATTCATTGCTGTCTTTTTAGGGTACAACTAGGTTTTTATAGCTCTTACCCAGGAAGTCACCATCAATTCCTCCTAGCTGATCTGATTTCTGTTATGACCTTTTTAAGTAGAGTGTTTCTCATCTTAAAGTGGTAATCGGAGAGCCACCCAAAGATCAGAGGTTAAAGAAAAAAATAGTTTGAGTCTAGTATTGAGTGTGCTTTCCTTCAGTGTCTTCTGTTTCAGCCACGGCCTTGCTGTGTGGGGCAAGGTGCTGTGCCGGCTGCCGTGACTGACGGCCTGGCTCTGTTCCGTCATTCCCTCCACACCAACCCTGGCCAGGAACTCGGGGGCTGGGTACTGTTGGCAGGTGGCAGTTCCCAGCAGTCCCAGAAGCTCTTGTGCCTCTTCCTCTTCAGGGGAAAATACTGCACAGAGATTGTTACCCGGCATTCATTGGGATCATAGCTACCCCTCCCTGCCTTTTTGCAGAGAGGCAGAGGTGTTCTTATTTATTTTATTTCTCATTTTTTCAATTACAAAAGTGATTACACTAATTCAAACATTACAGAAATAATGCAATTTAGAAAGTGAAAATTTCCTATGATATGACTCTCAGAGATGATATCTGCTGTTAGTAGCTTGATATGCATTTGTCTAGATTTTTCTTTCTATACAAAGTATTTTATTTTTTGACAAAAATGGGATCACAGAATATGGATTATTTTGTAACTAGTCTTTGTTTACAAAACTGTGACATGTTTCCCTGTTGGTTACATAGAGACCTATCTGTTTGTTGTCAATGGCCTAGTATTTCACTGGGGGATGTACAAAAGCGTGTTTCACCACCTCCTGTTAGATGGAAAGTTTGTTATGTTTTGTTTTTTGATAGCATAAATAATGGTGCAGTGAACACTCCTGTTCATGGTGTTTGTGTACCTCTGGGAGATGTCTACAGACTAGAGACCAGTAAGTGGGGGGTATGTGCATCTAACGTCTGCTAGCTGCTGACTAATTGCCTTTCAAAAGGTTCTGCTGATTTATAGTCCAAGCCACAGTGATGAGAATACCTGTGTTCTTACACCTTTGTCAATTGTGGAGATCAGTATTTTTAATTTTATTAATGTGATGGGTGAAAAATGAAGTTGTTTTAATGTGCATTTTCCTGATTACTTATGAGGTTGTGTGTCTTCTTTTATGAATTACTTGTTATATTCTGTATCTATTTACTTGATTTACAGCAGCTTTATATATTCAGATGTTAATCCTTTATCTATTATACAAGTTACATATACTTTATTCCAGTCAGTTGCTTATCTTCTTTTTCTTTCTTTCTATTGAAGTATTAAGTGCTTGTCTTTTTTTTTCTTTTTTTTTTTTGCTGAGGAAGATTCGCCCCCTGAGCTAACATCGTTGCCAGTCTTCCTCTTTTTTAGCTTGAAGATTCACCCTGAGCTAACATCTGTGCCAATCTTCCTCTATTTTTTGTTTTTGTACATGGGTCGCCACCACAGCATGGCTGACAAGTGGTGTAGGTCCGCACCTGGGATCCAAACATGTGAACCTGGGCCACCAAAGCAGAGCACACCAAACTTGAACCACTAGGCCACGGGGCTGGCCCTAAGTGCTTGTCTTTTAACTTTTGTTTCAGGATCTTTTATGATACCAACATTAAAAATTTTTATATAGTACAATCTTCAAATTTTTCCCTTTATATGGCTCCAAGGTTTTGTGTCTTAAGAAAGCTCTTCCCATTGCAAGCATATTTTTATTCTTTCTTTTTTTATATATTTTTAAAATTATGGTAAAATATACATACGTACAATTTACCATTTTATCCTTTTTTAGGCTTACAGTTCAGTGGCATTAAGTACATTCACGTTGTTATGCAACAGTCACCATCATGCATCTCCAGAGCTTTCCCATCATCCCATCATACTAAAACTGTGTTTGTGGTGTCTTATAATGCTTTGGTTTGTTTACCTTTAGTTTTTCAGTCCCCTTGGAATTTATTTTTATATGCTAAGTGAGGTAAGGTTCCAACTTTATTGATGACTCCATTCCTTCATTCATTTGGAATCCTCTGCTCTCACATTCTAGATATTGTACACATGTAGGCCTGTTCTGTACCCTTGACCTGTTTCTACACTAGCTTTATATTATTGTTTGATAACGCAGGTCCTCAAGTTAAGGAAGTATCAATTGTATTTCTAGCTTGCTAGGATCATCTTCATTCTTTTCCTTTCTCTTGATAAGTAATGGGTTTTGAATTTTGTCCATTGCCCTTTTGGAATCAAATGAGACGAATGAGGATATCAGTTAAAACAAGGAGTTACTTTAATAGATTGCCTAATATCAAACTGTCTAAATTCTGATTCAGTAACTTGTTCAGTATGTCCTATTCTGATTTTTTTGCACATGCTCAAATTTATTTTTATTCAGATAGGAAATGAGAGAACAAAACAAAAAAAAAGAAAGAAGCCAGGCGTTTCAGAGGAAAAGCGTATCTACTCTTTTGATTTGCTTTTATTTTACTTAGGATTTTGGCCTCTGTGTGTATTCGGGAGATTGGCCTATAGTTTTCTTTCGTCTGCCCCTGCTTTTGTGTGTGTGTGCTTTCCTTGTCCACTTGTATAAAAGGGGTAATTCTATCTTTATAGAATGAAATGGGAAGCATTTTAATTTTTTTTTTCATATTCTAAAACATTTGTATAGCACAGAAATTATCAGTTGCTTGATGGTTTGATGGAAGTGACCTAGAAAGCCATTTGGGCCTGTTTTCAGGGAGTCTTAACCTTTGCTGATGCCACACTGATGTGCAGCTAGAACATAGATCCCCACTGTGGGGTACCTTCATCCTCTGTTAGGTGGTCCTCTTCAGCATGCTGTGGCCTGGGGAAGCTAGTTAGTGTTGAGAAGAGAGTAGAGGTCATTGAGAATCCTTTTCCACGGCTAAACTGAAGCACAGCGTAAAGATCAAGATCTGACTTCTACCTGACGGTATTAACTCAAGAGCTTAGTTTTTGTCTCAGTAAAATGGGTGTATAATTACTAGGAGGGTTCTAGTAGTGATTCTCTTCTTACAGACGAAGGCGGTATTATTAGATTAAGACTTGCTGACTCAAAAGCTTCTTTTTTTTTTGAGGAAGATCAGCCCTGAGCTAACATCCATGCCAATCCTCCTCTTTTTGCTGAGGAAGACCGGCCCTGAGCTAATATCTATTGCCAATCCTCCTCCTTTTCTTTTTACCCTTTTTCTCCCCAAAGCCCCAGTAGATAGTTGTACATCATAGTTGCACATCCTTCTCGTTGCTGTATGTGGCACGCTGCCTCAGCATGGCCAGAGAAGCGGTGCTTCAGTGCATGCCCGGGATCTGAACCTGGGCCGCCAGTAGCAGAGCGTACGCACTTAACCGCTAAGCCACAGGGCCGGCCCCTCGAAAGCTTCTAACAGTTACCTCAGGGTCCAGACCGCCAGAGAGCATGATATCAGGGAGAGCACTGGGCTATGGGTCAGCCCTCTGTCTTCATCCAGCTCTGTGACCCTGGGCAAATCACTAGCCTCTCCGGGCTTTTGTTTTCTCATCTAGTCTAGTGAAGAAGTTGGTCTAAGTCAGTGATTGTTTTGGTGGTGGGATCAGTAGGGGTTGTCTCAGAATTTCCTCAACTTTTGAGAAGATGAATTTTTAGAGGTTGAGAAACAAACCACCCATTTATGATATTTATGAGATAATTGGAAATTTGAACACTGGATAATTATTGATATTAGGGAATTGCTAACCTTCTTATGTGTGATAGTGGTGTTTAAGTTTGAAAAGAATAATCCTTTTTTATTTGGGGGTTACATACTGCAATATTTATGGATAGAATGAATTTGAAAAGAAGATTGTAAACACTGGTTAGACTTCTAAGGTCTGTGCAAGCACTTAATTATCTGTTTTGTTTCTGGCACTGATGAATATTTACTGTGTGTTTCCTTTATGGAACTGGACTGTTATATACTCCTTACAGCTGAGAAGCTGCAGGAGGAAGGGGAGGGACAGAGACCATGTTGTCTCTGATGTCCTGCCTCAGAGTCCTGAGAATGGACTCCTTGCCTGTGGTCACAAGGTCTTTCTCCTCTCTGTCCATACTGTGGACACCTCTGGCCACACCATGACCTTGTCAGGCTGGCAGGCAGCCCCTCTAGCTGTCCAACCTTTGTAGCAGCCCCTGGGAGAGTGGGCTTGCTCTCAGGTGTACTCCTAATCAGGACAGAGCAGTCATCTGTGCACAGCCCTGCCTTTGAGCAGGGTGAGCAAGTGGGAGGCGAATCCTGTCAAGTTTTGATTGTCAGACCCTTCTTCATTCCTCCTCTCCTGTGCCCTCTGTCCTCCCCACTTTCCTGCATTCTTAGAGACTTCTTAGTTTTCCAAAGATGAAATCTAGACAAGTGGGGAAAACCTTGGTGGAAAAAGGCCAACTCTCTCTACCTTGCTTCCTTCTTCCTAAGCTGCAGGGCTCAACAATTATGGCATCCTCCACAATACCTAAAAAATTGACAAGATCTGAAAAAATGATATTGTCGGAGCAATCATGGAAAACTTCCTTTCAACTCTTATCACCCTTAACAATTCACCTGTGTCCTTTTCCCTGCATTGTTTTCATGCATAATAATAAGAGCTAACCTTTGTATTTGAACACATATTATACTCTAGGTGCTTTATGTGGATTGTCTCATTTAATCTCACAACCCTGGGGAGTAGGTGCTTTCATATGTATCTTACAGATGAGAAAAAGGAGGCTCAGAGAACATAAGTCAGTTATCACTTTCCCTAAAAAGTGGTAGAGGTGGCTCTGTGGCTCCAGAGTCCATGTTCTATTAACCACTTGGCTGCTAGAATACATGTCCTTGTGCATCCAGCTTTTTCCCTATCAAGAATTACTTCTTTGGAATAAATTCTCAGGAGTGGGATGATTGGGTCAGAGGGTCTGAATGTGTTAACCTGGCAAAGTTTTGACTCTTGTTCACTACCTCTCCTACTACAGCGCCTGCCTCCAGCGCCCTGAAAATGCTGTGATACGTCCTTTACCAGGTTCATGATGGCTGCTGCACAGTGAGCCCTGGGCACGTGCTGTCCTGCTGAGCTGTCCACTTGTCTGAAGACCTCTTTAAGACAGTCGTTTTTGCCTCCCCACCAGCTGTCTTCAGGGTTGGGCCTCTGGGTCTTGTGAAACCATTAGGCTAGGTGGTATGGTGCCAGCAAGGGGAGCATTGTCTTCCAGCATCTACAGAATCCCCGGCTCCTCAGCAGATCTGGCTGTGCATGGATCAGAGGCACTTCTTCCCCAGCACTAGCCAAGGAGCATTGTTGGACCGCTCACTGCATTTAATAAAGGAGTTCCTCCTGGACGTCTGTGCTGCCCCTGTGCCAAGTTGGGAGGAGACGTCCGTGTGGTGTGGGGCTGTGGGAGTGAGAATTGAGAGCCCTTTGCTGAGGACTGGGATCATCTTGGCCCACCAGCCGGTCATTCAGTGCCAGAGGGCGTTTTGGACATCGCTGTTGGCCTCACTGAGCAGCCGTGGGAGAGTGCTCCCCATGCAGCTCCCTCTTAGGAACGATGTTAGATACAACTAGCCTGCTGAGACCTGGGAACTCCTGATTTCAAACCCACGATAGGGCAAAGAGAACTGGGCTGTCATCTTTCAGTCCTTTTGGCCACTGTAGATGTGGGGAGCAGCAGTTGCCAGGAGGTAAAAGCTGGCCCTTTTCTTTTTTTCATCATGCTTTGGGCAGTTACTGTATCCAGAAAGCCTGCAGGTCCAGAAAGGCTAAAGAAGAGAAATGGTACAGCAAGTGAAGTGGCTTGAGGGGCATGCAAGTAAGTCCTGTGGTGAAAATGATTTGGGCTTGAGGCTTTGCATCTAGTACCTAAGGAACTCTTGATGCAACTGGAGATGAGAAGAAGAATTTGCCAAGTCAGAAGGAAGTAAACCCAGCCGCTAAAATTTCTGTCTCCAGGGTCTGGAAGAGAAATAGGGACACCCAGCTAAGTTAACATCTTGGCCATCCAGAAAGCTTAGGCATCAGGACGACAAAGGCCACATTTCTCTGTTTGTGTTTCTATTCCATGCAACTTTTTGTCCTTTTGCATAGAAGTGGGAAGATTATTGGCATTGACACTACTATGCAGGGCTCTTGGTACCAGCCTGAACCCTTGGAGGTGGAGGTCCTTGGAGAAGTGATCACTGAAGATGGAGCTCTGAGCCCCTCCTTACCTCCTCACAATACTTGTGTGCAAAGGTAGTTTTAGATTTGGCTTAGAACCTATCTTCCAGAGCAGGCGCCCTTCCCTTCCATACCCTAGAATGTTTCCAGTCAAGGTGATAAGTAAGGCAACCCAAATGTGACTCTGTTCAGTATCTGTAGGCAGGGAGGGCCCAAAGATTCGAGCCACATGCCATGGCTCGAATTGTGTTGCAGGGTCCTGACCCATGGTGCAGCATGTATCCAAATCAAGCCACCTGTGTTCAATCCAGGAACCTCACCTGCCAGTGTGAATAGCAGCCACGAAGAAGTGTACAGTGTGCAGGAGTCTCAGGCAGATTAGAGTGCTGCAAGCAGGGCCAGGGGGATGTATGTGATAAGATTGGAGAGGGCATCTTAAACACCATACTCTCTCTCCCTGACCTCCTGCAGAGGTGGTCTCAGCAGTGATTCACATAGAATTAGGCTGCATTCTCGCGTTAGCTGGTAGGTAACTGCTTTCTGAAATTCAGGAGGCATTTAGTAAGTTTGAGGAAGATATGAAATCTGAAAGAGGCATCCGTGGGTCAGGAGTTTGATAACTTTACAGGTAGGATAATAACACACCAACAGGAACCGAGGACAGTAAGACTGTGTGAGACTGTGTGAAGCTTTTAGGAATGATGTAGGACAGGCAGAGGGTCCTGAACAACCTATTCAGACTTAAGAGTGCAGCCTAGACAGCGCTGGAGGGGCCGCTCCTGAATGATGCTGGCCCGGTGTGTGCTGGGGCCAAAGGAAAAACTAACGCATTGTCCTGCTTTTGTGTAAATCCCAGTATGCTTCCCGTGGATGACTTCCTAAGGCTTGGGTTATACACCTTGAAGAACGCCAAAACTGGAGAAGGGGAGTTGTGAGAACGTTGGTTCTTCTTCACCTTGGAGGGACAGGCTAACACGGGAAGTGGTTGAAGTCTCTTGAGTCGTGTTCTCCAGTTCTATGCTGCTTCTCCAACCACACTTCTTGAAATGTAAACGGAAGCTTTCTTCTACCTATCATATAGCAGACCTGGAGTCCATAACCTCAGAAGGTAATACTACTAGCCGAAAATGGAGAAGGATCAAGAAGCCTTTAGTTAAAATTCTTGGATGACAGATGCATGTTAATGCCCTATGGAAGATGTCCTTGTGCTTTGAGAAGAGGTCACTGATGGAGGAAGACCTTCTGTCTATTCTTGGCCCCACCACTAGAACAGTCGTGGGCTGGATGGTTTATAGAGCTGAGCCGCTGTGACGGTTTTGTTCTTATGTTAGCAAAAACAATTAAAAAACAAAAAACTGTGGATTGCTTCAACTTCTTTTCACTTGACTTCTCGTGTTTATTCTGGTAACCACCCAATGAAGTGGCACAGAAAATAGAAGCAAAGATATTGCGGTAAAGCCAGTGATCATCTCACTGATGCCTGGTACCATGAGGTGGGTACGGTAATTCCATTTTTACAGGTGAGGAAACTGAGGCACAGAGAAGTCACACAGCAGGAAATGGCAGAAGCAGGACTGGAACCTAGGCAGTCTGTCGCCAGTGTCTGTTCTTCTCTGCATTGTGCTGGGTTCTGAGATGGGAGACCAGAGGTGGAGATTAGCCCAGGAGGTGAGGAGATGGTGGCTTGGCCTTCATGTGACCCTTTTCAATTTACTTCCCATCAGACCTAGAGTGATTGCTGCTGTCATGGAGGGACTCTTGGCTGGGTCTGAGTCAGTAGGTAGGGTCCTCGCCCTTGGTCCTGAGAGATAGAAATTCCTTTGCACATCGTATACCTCCAGTCCCCTCCAATAAATAAATAAAGGCTTATAAAGATGAATGAATGAATTCCAATCTCCAGATTATTTGTGTACTTGTATCCAAGAGGACCTTCCTTTCTACCCTTAAATTCCAGATCCCTACACTTAACTTTGAAACACTCTGTGGATGGAAGCCATAGTTCTGGTAGACTGCTTGAGTATCTAGTACACATGGACTCATCTTGTTACCATCCTTAGTAGAGACCTGACACAATTTCCATCCCTTTCAACTCTAGTCTCACTGACTTGGGTGAGTCAGATGAAGTAGAGATGAGGATTAAATTGTTTAAATGATAGCTGTCTTAAACTTTAGGAGTGTAGGGACAGGGCCATAGCAAATTACGATGCAGAAAAATCTCCCTTACCTTTTTATCTGCCTTTCCAAAGCATATGTTTTAGTCAGGATCAGTGGTTGCAAGAAGCAGAAACCATTCACCACCCAGATTAGTTTTAAAAGGGAATATTCTCTCAATAGGCATTGTCACAGACAGGGAGCCTGACAGTTTCTGCTACTTGCCTCGAGACCTCGACTGACTTGGACTTGCCAGGGACCAGTTTTCATCTTGTCACTGGACTTTTTTGCTATGGAGCCTTCGTGGATGGCCAGTCTCTGTCTTTCAGTTCAAATCCTGAACACAGTGAACCTGATTGGCTCAGTCTCACTTATAGGTTGGTTCCTCTCACCCCAGTCCAGTAATAGTGTCCAGAGGATGAAGTTGTGTGGTTCATATTACCTTTCTAAGAAGAGAGGAGAAGGGATCAAACAAACAAAACTTGGGCTATTCAGATGTGCGTGTGGTTTTTTAACTTGCAGTTATAGTTTAGAGAGGTCCCCTGTTTTCTTCATCCAGTTTCCCCCAATGCTGATTACATCTTACATACTGTAGTACAATATCAAAACCAAAAAATTAACATTGGACAATGTGTGTCTGTAGTTCTGTCATTTTATCCCTGTAACCATAATCAAGATACAGAACTATTCCATCACCACAAAGATCTCCCTCATGTTACCCCTTTATAGTCACACCCATCTCCTTCCCCCTCACCATTCCTAAGCTGTAGCAACTGTTAATCTTTTCTGTATCTCTATGAATAGAAGAATAAATAGAATCTTGGAATATATGACCTTTTGAGATTGGCTTTTTTCCACTCAGCGTAATTCCCTTGATGTTCATGCAAGTTGTTATATGTATCAGTAGTTCATTTTTTTTTTCACTGCTGAGTATGAATGTTCCATGGTATGGATGTACCACAGTTTCTGTAACCAAGGGACATCTTGATTGTTTCTGCTTTGAGGCTATTACAAATAAAGCTGCTGTGAGCAATTGTAAGCAGGTTTTTGTGTGAACATTTGTTTTCATTTCCCTGGGATAAATGCCCAGGAGTGTGATTATTGTGTCATATGGTAAGTTTTCAGTTTTTTAAGAAACTGCCAAACTATTTTCCACAGTATCTGTACCATTTTACATTCCCGCTAGTAGTGGAGGAGAGATCCGCTTTCTCTGCATCCTTACCAGTGTTTGATACTGTCTCTGTTTTTTATTTTAGCCATTCTAATAGGTGTGTAGTGATACCTCATTATGATCTTTAAAATTTGTTGAAGTTTGTATATGTCCAGGATATGGTGGTCTATCTTGGTATATGTTCTGTAGGCACTTAAAAAGAATGTGTATTCTGGTGTTGGGTGGAGTGTTTTGTAAATATTGATAAAATTCTGTTGGTTGATGGTGTTGTCGAGTTCTTATATCCTTGCTGATTTTCTGTCAAGTTGTTCTATCAGTTGTTGAGAGGGTGGTGTTGAAATTTCTGACTATAATTGTGGAATTGTCTGTGTCTCCTTTCAGTTCTACCAGTTTTTGCTTCACATACTTTGCAGTTCTGTTATCTGGTGCATACACATTTAGGATTCCTATGTTTTTTTGGTGGATTGACTCTTTTATCATTATGTAATGTCTCTCTGTACCTAGTAATTTTCTTTGCTCTGAAGTTTATCTTATCTGACATTTAGATGTCAGATCTGATGTCAGTCTCTGTCTTTTAATTGGTGTTTTTAGACTGTCTCCATTTAAAGTGATTATAGATATATTAGGGCCTACGTCAGCCATTTTAGTTTTTGTTTCCTCTTTTGTTGTGTGTTTCTTTTTCCTCCCTTCAAGCAGGTTACTTGAACATTTTTTTAGAATACAGTTTTGATTTATCTATGGTGTTTTTGAGTGTATCTCCTTGTATACCTTTTTAAGTGGTTGCTCTGTTGCATTATATATACACATAATATATTACAATTTCTTGGTGTCTACATTTTACCAATTTGAGTGAAGTGAAGAAGCCTAACCTCCCTTTATGTCCCTTTACCCACCCCCCCACTTCTGATATTGTCTGTATACATTGAGAACCATGTTAGACAGTGTTGTAAGTTTTGCTTCAAACATAATTTAGGAAACTCAAGAGGAAAAGGAAAATCTATTGTATTTACCCATATTTTTATTCTTTCCATTGTTCTTTCTTCCTGATATTCCAAGATTCCTATTTTTATCATTTCCTTTCTGTTTAGAGAATTTCTTTTAGCCATTGTTATAGAGAAGGTCAGCTGGCAACAAATGTTTTTAATTTTCTTTTCATCTGGCAGTGTCTCAATT